TATTTTAAAGATGTACAATGGGCACAGATATAAATTGATGTAACACTGATCAAGACTCTGCAGCTGTAATGATAAAATAAAAATATAACCTTAGAAGGTTAGGTTAGAAAAAAGGGTTAGAAACTTGCTGCCCAGTTTTGAGCAAGATACTTGATGTCTGTGTTTTCCAGCCTGTACATGAATAATCATTACAACAATGTCAACTTACTTCTTGAGGAGCAATTACATAGTTTAAGGTATTGATTTTCTTTTAAGTCAAATATTTCTGGGATGTATGGAGAGATAGTACTACATTTATCTGATTACTTATGACTTTCAGGCCCTTTAGGTATTTTGGGGTTTTTTCTGCACACACCTTTTAAGAAAAAGACCCTGTCTATAGTTCTCTGTGTTTGTCATCTTAGGAAAACAGATCTTGTTCTCATTTTAAGTAGTTTTTGTAGTACTGTATGTTATATAAGGCCCATAAGACCTTTATACAGAACTCTCGCTAGTGTCAGAGCAATCAGTCTTCTAAGGTAATCCAGCTAGCATCAAGGTGGAAGCGTACTTCAAAGATGTAGCCAGAGACAGGTTGATCACACTTTCCTGCCCAAGAACAGCAAGGAGGAACCTGCTTCATGAAAAGGGTCCATGGGGAAAGTAGTAGCCCACCCAAGAAATGTCACTTTTAACTGCAGAAGACTGCCGTTATCAATTAGCAGTGGATCAGTCTTTAGTTAGACCAAATTTTCAGATTATTTCTTCTTCTTTTGCACACACATTTTTAAATACACAACGATTTGCATCTGTAGATGGGCCTTAATCTCATTTAACTCTAAACCTCTGTCTGCTCCCACAAATCACAGGCTGGTATTAGTGTGCTATGCCTTCATCCACCTTTCCTCTTTGCTGTGAAGAAAATAGACATTGTCAATGTACTCCAAATAGGTTGGTGCATGGAACAGGACAGTGACTTCGCCAAAGTGAATGAGCAGAGTCTGCTCTGGATACACTTAGAGAAGGTTCACCAACCACTTCTTGTCTCACTCAGTCAGACTGTAAGCCATTGCCACAGGATAAAGAGGCTAGTGGAGAATGAGATTTATTTATGGCTATCTACAATTCCTTGTTAGACATGATATTCAGACAGCTCCACTCTGTACCATGCTGCTACTGCGTGTTTTATGACTGCCAGACAGACACGTGACAACGTAATTAATTTCTACAGAACACAATGCAATCTTCAATGTTCTCAAGGCACCTTTTGAAGTCATTAAGATCTGCTCTCCTCTACCTACATCTGGCTTAGTAATTAAGAATAGTTTACTGTGATTTATCCAAACATTAGACTTCTCTCCTGGTGTACAACACCTTATATATCATCAGACAGCTTTGGCATTTGACATGTTCTTACCTGAACTAATACATATTGACAGTTTCCTGGAAACTTGTATTTCAATCCATCAAATGTCAAATAATGAGCTGTACCAATTACAGTGCAGGTGCCATCACACGTATTTTTGGTGCATTCCCACTTTCGACCATGGCACACACTGTAACAGAGGAAATGAGTTATCACTATTTCCAATTAATATAATAAGCAAAGAATGCAAGGTGCTCTAGGCGAAGTGAAAGAGCAAAACTTTCTACCTCCAGGAGCTCATGATCTGAAGACTCTCCAAAAGACACACAAGTGGTGATAAGCTACTATTTTGCCTTGTTCTGCTCTTTTTCCTGGGCCTGGGTCAGGGAGTAACTAACTGCAGAACAAACAGGAGCATTGTTTCCTTGTGTGTCTTAACCCAAACATAACCAGCTGCAGCTCTGTCCTGCTCTCCATCCTCAGGTACATTCCAGTAGATCCACTCTATGTTTGGCCTTGAAAAGGTCCCCATAGAAGGCTCCGTGCCTGGGCTGCTGGAATCCTTCTCTAGATAGACTTCCATAACTACACTACACTACAGTGCACTAGATGACACTCTCTCTCATGAACGTAAATTAGCATATGTTAGGATTGGGTGCATAAATCCAAATAGTGCATTAACATGTTAGGTGACTAAGGAATGCATTTCCCTTCTTCTTACAAGTTGCATGTAGGAGTATGTGCTTTTTGAACTTCCCTATTACAGAAAGAGGTCAGGACAGAGTCTGCTAGAACATTTCATAATACTATTAGTATTAGCTTCTTCTCAGAGCTGCTCTGCTCTGAGTAACCTTCTAGAAAAACAGATTGATTACACTCTAAGGACCATTAGAGGTTAAATATGAAGTATAATACCAGCAACCCTGGTTTTGTTTGCAGCACTGTCCATTTTCCCCTCATTAAAAGCCAAAATAGTAGTAAACCTAACATCCAGCTGATGTCAAAGGACATGCACTTACTCTAGTGATCAACTTCTGGGACCAAGTAACCAGGACCGTAATTCAGTCTGCCCAGTGGTTTTTGTTCAGATTATATACTTAACTATAATACCACCCTTCTTCAAAGAGGTCTTTCTTTTCTTAAATTAAATTCATTCTTCATGCTGGTTTATCTGACCTAGCAATTGGAGACGTTACCTCACAGTCTGATGAGAGCACATATATGGATAGAAATATTTCTTTTTCTGTACATAGGTTCAGATATACATACACCTGAGGAATGTCCTATAGCATGACAATGTCCCCTGAGGTCTCCTGTGGTGATTGAACCAGAACATCTGCCCTACAGGAGAATCCAAGTTTGGCAACATACAAGTAGGACTCCAAGCTAAACCTCAGCTTATGCAATAGGAGATGGGACAAGGTGTGACAAGACTCCTGATCAGGAGATACACAAGTTGTTTCCTGCCTGTATAACTTGCAAGTGATGTTATCAAGGACACCTTCTAGACTTCCTCACAGAATATGCAAGAAAAAAAAAGGGGACATCCTGACTTGCAGAGCAAAACAAGATGCTACCTTGTTTTTTCAGAGGGAAGAATTCTGAAGAGCAATCAGACACAAGGTTAAGGTCTTGATATCATTACACCCACGTTGCTGTAGCAGCTATACTGCACTGTCATTATTGTACAAAACCAGTGATGGCATGATGAAAGGGACCGTGGGGTTTCTTTTTTTGTCTCACTCCTCCTTTTACACTCTTTTTGCCTTCTGTTTTCCTTTGTTGTTTTGGTTTTAGATTTGTTTTAAAAACCAAAACAGAACAAAACAAAAAAACCCACACAGTGACCATTTTCTGAGTGAATATTCAAAATGCAAAGAAGGCCAGTTCTCTTATCTTGCTGTGACTTAATTGGTTTCAGTCTAATTATACCAGTGTAACAGACAGAAGGAAAAATAGTAGGGCTCCTAGTCTTCATGATGACACCAAACCAGCCATATCCAACACCAATCACTATTAAATTTCTGAGCATTTCCAATAACATTTGTATTCTTTCATTGCTGTAATATATAATAATCTAAATCTCACTTGGTACTCTGATAAATAAGGTTCAAGGAAGTAAATATGCTCATGTTAAAATGAGGGAAA